AAATTTTTAGTGGACATGTGAGACATGCTTTGTCTTCTTGAAAAGTTACTAACTTGCTCTTTTAAATATTCAAGTTTTAAATCTTAAATTCTAAGGATATGTATAAAAATATGTGAAATATATTGTTTGAAAAAGGAAAGTGGACAATTATATTAGGATAGACCAAAAATGAAAGTATGACCCTGTTTTTTGGAACAAATGGTACGATCACTCCTCTCCAAAAGATAAATTGAGTAGGAACAATACTGTGGGGAACATGGGTTTACTTCGACTTTTTGGAAAAGCAAGAAGACAATAATAACAACTTTTTTATTTTTTATTTTTTGGGTAAAGTACATTGACACCCCCCGAGGTTTGGGGAAAGGACAAGTAAATGAAAGTTAGCATATTTTTGGACAATGACACCCCTTCAAGTTTGAAAAATGGACAAAGAGACCCTGAAGATGGTAAATTGACCTTATTACCCTTTCAAATAAAATTAACATTTTAATTGACTTAAATACCCTTTGATTAAACCCAAACCCGAAACCAAACCCGAACCCGAACCCGCCTGCGTATATTATACAGTTCACCAGAGGAGAGAGAAGGGAGATCAGATGGATGGTGGTTGTGGCCGCGGTGGTGGGTGCAGAGAGAGGGGGAAGAGAGGGGCGGCCATAGTTGAAGAGATGAGGTGAAGAGGAGAGAGAGGAAGAAGCATCGGCAATGACTGCGACAGTGGGGGTGGCAGCGATGACTGTGACAGTGGCGGCGAAACCCAGAAGCATCGGCGAAACCCTGAAATTGCCGGTAAGGACCAAGCTCCGATGAAGATGCGGCCACGGACTGAATAGTGTGGCGAAGTTTAGAAACTGAGCAACAAGAGATCGACGAGCAAAAACAATCCGGCGAGGACCAAGCTCCAATGACGACAAGGTTCAGATAAGCACAGTCCGGCGACCGTCACCTGCAAGGCCAAGGAGGCTGAAGTGGCCATCGCTTCTGCCGTCCGTTTTGAGTCCAATTAGAGCCCTTTTATGTGCGAAGGTGAGAATTGGGGATGGTGATGTGCACAGATGAGGGGGTGATATATATGTGTGTGTGTGTGTGCATGTGTATGAGAGAGGGGAGGAGGGTGGTGGTGGCGGCGACACCGATCTCATCCTTAAATCTTCCCTGCAGGCTCAAACATCAACTCTCTATCGCTGTCAAGAATGAAAGACGCCGGCGTGGGGAACGTCTCTGTCAATCCCGGTCAAACCCGGCTTGTCCAAGGCCGAGTTCGCCGCCCAAACCGAGGCTGAGCTCCAACGAGGTCGAGGAGGTGGCAGTGGCAGAGCTCCTTTTTGGCGTCTTCTTTAGTGGGTGGTGATTATGGAGGTTGGGGGTTGGTGGAGATTGGGGGCGGTGGTGACTGGTTGTTGGTGTGTGTGTGTGTGTGTGTATATAAAAGTATATATGAAAAGGGTATTTTGGCCATTTAAGTTTTAAATATTTTATAATTAAAATTAATAAAATAGTGAAGGGTAAAATGGACTTTTCACTTGATTTAAGGCTCTGTTTGAAGGGCAAATTTCACAAGGGGGTGTGTTTGTCCAAAAACAAGTCAACTTTCATCTGTCTGTCCTTTCCTCAAACCTCAGAGGGTCTCTTTGTACTTTACCCTTATTTTTTTTGAGAAATGTTTGACAGGCAACAATATTGAAACTGGATGTCCTCATCATAAGTCCAAAATATTTATTTGAGCACTTTGTGTGCGTTCGCGCGTCATAGGTAGGCTCCATGATATTCGAGTGTTGGTAATTCGTATTTTGTGGCTACATATCAACTTGAATGTTTTAAGGGCGAAGGAACACCTTTTTGGTTTTATCCGTGTGGGAAGCGCACACTTAAAAATCATAATTTTGGCCCATTATTATTATATCATCATCTGATGATGATACTTGGTTGGAGGAGTTGGTGAGGGGCTAGTCTATAGGATTTGGAGTTGGGCTGAGTCGGTGAATATCCAAAGGTTTATATTCTATTTTATAGTCATCTAATCGAGGTTGGATGTACACGTTCATGTCACTAAAGTGGGTGAAGGCTAGACTGTGGCATGGGTTGGTCAATTGGAAAATGACCTGGTTGCACAATTCTTGATTCAGGTGGTTGGATATCTAGGTGAGTCCGAATGGGTTGGTGGGTTGTCATGAAGATACGTATGAACTGAGTTTGGGTTAGCAATCAATAAACTGATCACTACACATGTTTTGCTGAGCCTTAGATTTGAGTCTCCCAGCAACCACTTTATACAAATATAACGTGTCACATCATGTGCTCCTAATTCTTCCCACTAACCGCAGACTAAAGCAATCCGCTTGTTGCTAAGCAAAATTGAAAAGGATGATTATTTTTATTTTTGGATGTTGAATACAATGAGAAACTCTAATGTCATGAAGGCATCATTCTAAATCTAGTTTTTAGGCACACAAGTATGAAAAAAGTCAAACCAAGCTATCAGCTTTTTGGCATCTACCAAATTTTAGCTTTCAGGCATCAACCTATTACTCTTGCTTATTTCACAACTAGAGTAGATACGACTTCTTTATTCCATTTATTAACATTTCTTGGACTCCTACTATGTAGGTACCATGTATATGACCTTAGCCTGAGACTGCTTGACAACCCATTTTGCCTACTCCCCCTTTCCATCACTTGGTGGGTTCTGATTCTTAACAAAAAGCAAACCAAAACAGGAAGCAGATTTTCTTTTCATGTTTGCAACAAACAGAACATCACCCAACTTGATTCTAATGTTCACCATAATCTATTGTTAATCCTGTTGGGAAACGTGCTAGTTTTAAAAACTTTTCGAGGGATTTAAATTCATAGATCTTGATTCATCACATAGAGATAAGTTTTATGCAAAAAATAAAATAAAATATGATGTATTATTCAACTAAAAGATTGAATACTTACATCAAGGTTTGAGTAAACCTCAGATCTCTCCTCTAAAGTGAATGTTCTCACTTATTGTAGATCCCTCTTGCTAGACATCTTTTCCATGGATCTCTATCTTCTTGGTAATGGTCTTGCCTTTAGGAATCACTCATAAGCCTCCTTGAATGACCTTGGAAAACTAGGCTTGTGGGAGCCTCCATTAGATGAGAACATAAACCCTAATTTTCTAGAGAGAGAAAATATTTATTCCTTTTTTCCTTCTACTAAAAATCACACCACAAAATATACATAGACCATGTATATTTATAGGCAACATAAAAATAAAGAAAAGGAAACAATAAATCCTTCTCCATCTCTAATTCATATGTCTCAAATCTAATATGATTCCAATATCAAGTTGGGCTATGAGTGAGAATCCATTGGGCCTATTATTTTATTGGCTGCAATGAATTAAAATTGGCCCGGTCCATGGACCCAATTCAATTAATTCATAAATTAATTTCTACTCCACTAAAAGAAATTAATTGAACTCCAATTAAATAATAAATAACCTCTAAGTCAATATTGCACTTTGACCCCTCTATGCATAATTAGTTATCGGATAAATAAAGCCATCAATCCGACTACTTAATTAATATATCTATTTTGGTACCTCTGATTATTTCTGGCTCGATCACAATAAAACATTTGTTTGACAAAAATAATAATTTAAATAAATAAATATATAATAAATCATTTTGTCTAAAAACACACGAAGGCCTTCGAATTTACTTTGTGATCAACCATAATCAATACAAAATAAATACAAGTAGCAATGATGCAAATATTGAAAATATAACCCTCTAACTATTAATTACATAACTACCCAAAGTGTCGGTCTAAAGATCCCGAAGAATCCGCCGAACAAATCAAAGTAATTATTAATTAATAAAAGAGTCTATACTTTTCTCATGCTTAAGAGTCAAATGCCATGACGGTGATAGGGAGTAATTGCATACGACGGCTCTCGCAATATATCTCAACCTAACGCGGATCCAGTTCAAGTCTTAATTAATTATGAGTCCATCCATAATTACCGACTATGAACAATTTATAATTACTATTTATATATCATGCATTGATTGCCATCACATACATATATATAAATATTTTTTGTAATTAACTGGACACTATCAATTTCATAGTGAATTGAAACATAATACATTGAATTCACCAATTATATAAATCATAAATATTTCAGATATGTCAGGAACATATGTCAATACAATCCAGATAGGAATTTGCTATGCCAGGGCATATAAATCCCAACAAATCCATTGGATTTGGATCCTTTCCAAGCACCTCCAAGGCTTCATCTAATGAGAAAAAACTCGTAACGTCATCAATTGTCTAACTACCCACTTTCCATGATGGTTATTGCCAGCTTTAGCATCATTGTACAGAGTACTCCTAGAGAATTTTCTGATTATACAAGGATTGTGTTGATCCAATGTCCTAGACAAAAGTTAATTATGTCAATTTTCCATTCACACACACTAGGTTATCATCTCTGATCACACTGAGAGTATTTAACATGTTAATTTGAATATTAAATTTGGTTGATTTTGTCATAAACATGGTTTGGATTTATTTCATATTTAATTTTTCATTTTTTCTGTTCTTCCAATTGCTGTATTCATTTTTCCAAAACTTTTTGCCTGTCATTGAATATAAATCGTATTCCTTGAATATGATATCTATTTAGTGTGATTTACTAGATTGACACACACACATGAGGAAGATGGACAATTGAAGTTAATAACCATATTGACAAGCATGATTGTTCCCCTCCGCGAGTCTCTCAAACAGGCCTGATCTCTATATGAGCTTGGACTCTTCACTATTTGTATGAGGTTGAAGAGTGTATAAGAAAAGGCCCTGATCTATATGAATTACGATCAAAATACAATTAACTTTATTGTTGTATCTTACAAAGTACAAATTGCTGGATTTTCACCTTTGGCAGAATGACATGGAGATCATCTTACAAAGATGAAGTCAAAATTACATATGTTTTTTTTTTTTGGGTTTTAAGAATTTTACAATAACAATATGGACTTTGATAATACTAATGAACATATGATCCGAGTCTACAACTTCTTCCACAAATTTCAGCTAAGAAAGAATTGTTTGAGTGCTTCTAATGTGACGAAGCAAAACACTCATAGCTCATGCATTCTAGTTAGCTAGAGCACTGCCAGAGGCATGGACCGATCAATACTAGTCCGAAGTGATCTTGGTCGATGATTAGCCTTCTTCTTAAGCTTCCCGGTCTCGAATCCATTCCCAAATGGTAGTGTAGCAGCCGCCACAGCCTGCGACACTCCTTCTTTGGCAGCACCACTATGACTAAGTATCCTAGTGATCCCCGAGTATTGCAGTGACTCGGCTATCTGCATCGCAGTCACACCCTTGTTAGTCCGAGCTTCTATATCAGTTCCTTTCTTTACCAAGAATTCAATTACATCAACATGTCCAGACTCTACAGCACAGTGCAGTGCAGTGTAACCATCTTCATCTCTAGCATCTAGGTCCACACCCTTCTCAATAAGAGTCCGGACAGTGTCAATCCGGCCCTTGAATGAGGCTCGGTGCAGCGCTGTCCATCCATGTTGATCACGACCGTTGATTGCTGCTCCATTCTCAAGAAGCCTGTGAATTGTCCTCAACTCACCTTTTCGTGCCGCCACACACAAGCTGTCCCCGAGCCTAAGTGCATCGAAAAGCCTAGTGTGTCCATACTCGGCTGCCACATCGTATGCTACTTTCCCATGCCTGTTTCGGATATCTTTGTTGGCTCCCTTTTGCAGCAAGAGTTTCACCATGTTGTCATCACCTAGGCCTGCAGCGATATGTAGTGGTGTGTCACCATCTCCGGTGTTGCGAATGTCAGCCCTTGCACCACTAGCCAACAACAACCGAGCACAGTCCCTTCTTCGCTCTTCCACCGCAAGGTGTAATGCAGTGTTCCCATCTCTTGTGAGTGCGTTAACGTTGGCCCCTTTGAGTAGTAGAAGCCTAAGAACTTCCATGTGACCAGCTCCGGCTGCGAGATGGAGGGGCCCCCAAGTGGAGGACTCGGAGCGCTCTGTGCTGGCTCGGTGAGCCAGCAAGAGCTCAATGATTAATGCTTCTCCCGAGGCAGATGCTGCCTCGAGAGGGCTTGAGCCAGATTGGCTCTGAGCTTCCACATCAGGCTCAAATTCGAGGAGTAATTGTACAAGATCAGGTCGAGCGTGTGCAATCGCCAAGTGAAGTAATGTCTGTCCATCCTTGTCAACTGAATCTGCTGCCCTCCAAGCCGGCTCACTCTTCTCGAGCACTTCCCTAATTTCATCCATGTAGCCATTGGCGACGAGCTGAGCCAACACGGGTGAGCCAACAAACATGATCTTAATACCACTATCTATGAACACTTGCTTCTTCTTCGTTGTGAACCAATCACTAGGGACTGAATCAAGCGTGGATGAAGGGTCCTTCACCACTGCTCCGGGGACCACGACACTGTGGAGAAGGAACGAGTCTTCACAGTGAGGGTAGGACTCGGGTAGGGTTGCATTGGGAGGGAGGTGATAAGTGATCTCTAGTGTTACAGTCTTGAGGGGCGATATGATCCCGGATTGTGGCCGGACCGTGTAGCGCGCCTTGTTCATGGGTTGGAGCCGGAAGGCGACCGGCATGGTGTACATGACGTTACGCAATGTAAGCTCACCATAACACTTGTCTCCTTGTTCGATCCTGATCGGGACAACGTTTGATGGCTCTAAGCTTATGAGCCTGTCCATCTCGATCTCTAGCTTAATTGTCTGCTTCAAAAGGATGGTTGATCAGATCTTTTGCTTATGTTTCAGTGAGTGTAGAGGCTGATCATACTGGTTTTTTTCTTGATGGGTTTTGAAGAAAAGGCAAAACCCATGAAGAGGAACAAACAAGAAGTGATGAATAAGGCTGTGTTAGTGTAAATATAAGGAAGTTCAAAGCATGGCCGGCTCTAACAAGAGAGTGCCACATGTTGGTGTTAAAAACAATGCTGACTTGTTCTATTCGGCGTCCGACTTGTATAACTTCCAAGGTACAGTTGTATGTATACAATATATAATAAATATGTAAGTAAATATATATTTAAGAAATGAAGTTGCTTTTCTGAGTTTTTCTTGCAAGTCACAGTCATTGTTATATTAAACTATTATTATATTAAATGCACAAAGAACTAATTTTTATTGTTTCTGTGAGAGCTCACACTAAAGAATTTTGGCATAACAAAACTATAGTTAATTCTATTCTTTATATTTTGTAGCGCATCAATATGAGAATTAGCATCCAGATGCCTCTCTCTCTCTCTCTCATCATTGCTTTTTCTATCCAGCTATTGCTGCAAAGTACAAGAGAATGATATGATTTTGGGAACGTCAGTGTGTGAGTTTAAGAATTCTTGCGTGTGTCGGGAAGTTGATTAATTATTGACAGAGAGCACCATTTACTTGGCCAACTATAGTGACATGATGTTATGTACTAACATGTACACTTGGTAAGATTTGGTCATTGTGGTGCTTTTAAGTGGCAATGGGTTTAGTTTTTGCCAAGCAACCCACAATAAAAAAAAGTAGTTTAGGGCTAGGCAATAATATTTGTATAACATTTGTGTCTGAGAGGCCACTTCTCTATTGGTCATGAACTCTATTCTTGAGGGTGGGTCCCTCTAATGGATTTGCCTTGGTCAAATTTTCTGACCCATTCCTTGATTGTAATGTGTTAATAATACAGCCCAACACCCAAGGAACCATTGATAAATATAGTGCAGGAAACTTTTAATATATAGACGTAGATGTCTTCAATAAGAAGTTCGTAGATAGTTACCTAAACCTACATTTGGAATTCATTTTAGATCACCTAAATCCCAAAATCTACACTAATTTGTATATATAGGCAGTGGAACACTATCAGTGTGCAATAAATTTATCCTAGGCATCGTTTTTGCATCGAATCTAGAATTTTGTAGCAAAGGGTCACTTTTTCTGATGATAGGGAAATTACTTATTCATTGTAATATTGTGTGGTGAGAAGAGGCTAGAGCTAGCATCATTTTCTAGTGAAGTTGCAGTGCAACCATTAAGGAGTGATAGTTTCAAACTCCAACGATTGACTGGTTGGTTGCTTTTGACATAGTGTTTTCAGGTAGAGATGTTTCTGGTAAAGATGTTTAATATAGACTTCTTATAGTTGCAAGTCTATATATATTAAGTCTGAAACTTTTCTGTGAAATGATTTGTGGAAACTCTGTTTTCTGATCAAGTATATGCACGCTAATACTCTGTTGTTGCTTTTGCTATGAGTGTTGGATCTTCCATGGAAAGTGTTGTATGAAGCACCACCTATTGTTCAATCTTATTATATTCTTCTTGCTTTGTTGTTGTGTAGGAGTGGGTAAAAATTCGATGTAGAATCTTTGTGTGGAAAAGTGGATGGACTTCACTTTGATTATAATTTTGCACAAAGTGGTTATTCGGCTGACGTAAAATATTTTTCTTTTTTAGGTAAAATATATATATATATATATATATATATATATATTTTTATTTTTCAGTGTTTGGCGAAGGTCTAGGTCAAGTCCATCGAACAGGATGTGTAAAATAACTTGGCAGAAATTGATGGGTAAGTTATTTTTGTTAGATTTTAATATTTTTTTCTTCATAAATATTTTATGATAACCAAACACTAGAAAATAAAAAAAAAATATATTTTCTGAAAAATATTTTACATCCAAATAAACGGAACTCAAATTAACGTACTTATGCATGTGAATTCAAGTTTTTGCGAACACTTTTCTTTTAGATACTGATTTATCATCTACCAATTCTTCAGATACCAAACACATTCCGATTTACATTTTACTGTATATTATGCATATGTATCGTTTTTTTAAAAAAAATTCACAACATTGACATTATACAATTCTTACCATAAAAGTAATTTAGCTTCATTCGAAAGCATTTCAATTCATGGATGACTTCTTCAACTCACAGTTTCTTCTTCTATCAAATACGTGCAAAAGGGTTAAAATAAAAAATAAGAGGGAAGTAACAGTAAATTACCCAAAGTTAAAGGCCATGTTGAAAGTAGCAGAACTAGTCCATTTCACTTGTTCTTGTGTGTAATTTTAACTTATTCTGTGTTCTCATGTGTGTGTGTGTGTGTGTGGGGTGGAAATCAATAACAATACAAAAATATATATCACCCAAAACGAGGAACTTTCAGATGGGTTTCTTGTACAGAAAATGAAAAAGAATCTTGGAGAATCACAAGAGAGCTCAAGGACACAAGGTAGTCCCAAAAAAGTAACAAAGCTTCATAAAAATTGACTCAAAGAATGTACTTTTTGTTAGCATTATATCTATTATTTTTATTGTTCTTCGTTTTTTTTTTTTTTTTTTGAAGAGTATTTTTATTGTTCTATGTACTCAATCATACCTTTAAATTATTCAAACAAACTTTGGTTTCAACAATCTACATCTAGAAACTGTAAAGGAAATTATTTAATTCCATTAATTAATATGATTTGATGCTAATAGGAGATCTTAGTGAACAGTGACTGCAATGAAAATCGAAATTTGAGGAACGACTTGGAGTACTGAGGTGTCGAAAGCTCCTTTTTTGTTTTTGTTTTACAACTATTATTAATAAAATAAGTAACAAGAAATGAAGGGTGGATTTTAGTAAAAATAAAAAATTAAGAATTAAAAAATAAATATATAAATAACTGAAGACAAATGATTTACTTGGTTTGTCACCTAAAAAATAATTCAAAAATCAAAAATCAAAAAATTATTTTCACGTAATTATAAAAAACAGTTCAATGTCAACATAAATATGTTTACATTCTCGGAACCATCTATTCAGAATTTAATTATCTTTCATTGTTCCATATTAATTAGATGAATGCGATATTGCTTCATAAGAGTTATTGTTTCATAAGAGTTAACCAAAAAGTCCACGGTGAGTCCTTCCAACGTATAAAAATCAACCCAAATTTAATGTAACGTTAATTGACCTAGTTTTAGGAAGGGCCTATTATACTTGTCATGTGCTGGACTTAAAAACGAGTTTTTTTTTTTTTTGGGTTGAAACTTGAAAGTGTTATAATCTAAGTTTACATAAAGCAGGAGCATAAAAACGACAAAATTATATTGTAAATAGTGAGAATTTAAGCGGGAGCGTATGTAAAAGATTGAGGATTGTGTGATTTAGGTTATAATTCGTATAAGAGTGACGTGACAAGTGACTTAGTTAGGAATTTAGTTGAGGGTTTGATTGTAATTTCCAAAGAGCAAAGCTAGGAATCAGGGAAAATAAAATATTTATTCCCATAAAAGAAGTCATGAACCATAAATAAAAATTTTTGGGGTGTTTTTCTTCCATATTTTTTAATGTTTACGTTCTTCTTCTTCTTCTTTTATTTTTTTTTTAATTTTTTTTTTTATCCGGTCAAAAGAGGCAATTTATTCAACATACACACACATATATATATTATATTATATTTTGGTCCCGTAAAAAAAAAATTATTTTATTTTTTTGTTTTATCAGAAGAAACCAAAAATATTAAATATTGGATATAAAGTGAGGAAATTTGAAAGGGTTGCTGTGTCATTTAAAAAGTAATAATCATTTAGTTGTAAAGTTAATGTTATAATTAACATTTCATTTAAGATTGTAATGTAAGGGTAGAAAAATGAATTGCAAATATGGCCTCCCATATAATTTTATATTATGTATATATTATTAGTATATATATATTTTACTAAGGAAAAAATTTTACAAGGAGTGTTGGAGTAGAAATGGTAGTGCTTGGTTTTTTCCTCTAAATGGTCCAGAGTTCAAATCTTTATAAACCCAATAGTTTCTTATATTTTTGTGGGAAGTAGCTGACCTTATATATCATGTGACAGGTTGGTTGGGTGGGCTTATGAGATCGGGCTTGATGTTCGGGTTGAACGGGCTTTAGCATTTCGGACAGGTTCGGGTTGGGTTTCGGATTTCATAACATATCTACCCGAGCCCGGCCCGAATTAAATTTAGGCTCAATAAACTCAGCCCAAAACAAAAAATCATTGTTCAAGCCCATAAAAATGCGGGCTGAGTGCAGCCCTAGTGATGGTTCATGGAAAGTATTGTATGAACCATCACATATTGTTGAATCTTATTGTATTCTTCTGTAGGAGTGGGTAAAAATTCTATGTAGAATCTTTGTGTGGAAAAGTGCATTACTCCCATGCAATTGGATGGACTTAACTTTGATTATTATTTTGCACAAAGTAGTTATTCTTACTCTCTGTTTTGACCTAAAGTAAATTTTTTTTTTTTTTAATTTTTTTTCTTTTTTTAGCTAAAATATATTTTTTATTTTTATTTTTTGGTGTTTGGTGAAGGTCTAGGTCAAGTCTATCAGACAAGATGTGTAAAATAATTTGTCAAAAATTGATGGGTAAGTTATTTTTGTTAAATTTTAATATTTTTTTTTTCTTCATAAATATCACTGGCGGATTTAAGGTAGGGCTGGGCTGAGCTGGGCTCCAACCCACCCCAAATTTTTTTTTTATTTTTATTACTATGGGTAAATTTAGCCCACCAAAAAAAAAAAAAAAAAAAATTATTAGTGGTATTAGCCCACCCCAACAAGCCCAAGTCTAAAATAAAGGCCTATCCAAACAAGCTCAAAGCCAGGCCATGAACTAGTGATATGTTTTTTTTTTTTTGGTAAATTACACAGACACCCCTTGAGGTTAGGTCATATGTCAGCTAGATAAAGATTTTGGTTTTAACTTTCACTTACACCTCAATTTACTTTTTGGCTTCTGACACATGCGAATTGACACTTTTACCCTCAAATTTTTAATACAAAATATATATAATCCTAAATAACAAAAAGGCCCATATATAGTGTGTGTGTGTATATATATATATAAACACTGTTTGTACGGGCCCAAATCGTGATCGTCGCCGTGCAGCGCCGCCTCCCATTGAATCGTTAGCTCAGTATTGTACATCATTGCCGACCTCGAAATTTAGATCCTCACCGTTGGCAAATCAGTCGTCGATCATCACGCGACTCGGTTCGCTTCACCATCTCCGCTGGTTTTCACGTTGACGGAGCTGCAACTGGGTATTTCTTCACTGTAGAGTTTGGTCACTACCGTTGGGTCGTTCATGCTCATGAAACTGGGTCACCGGAATCTTCACCTCTTTCGCCGTCGACAAGCTCAAACCCACTAACCTCTCGACCTATCAAAAACCCTAGCTTCTCATGGAGGCGAAGTTTAATCACGGTAGCGACGAGGTTCAGGTTTAATCACGGCGACGATGTGGTTCATGGTGACTGTAGGTTCATAACGATATGGTTCAAGGCGACGGTAGGTTCATAACGATATGGTTCATGGGCTGGGTTTCAGTTGGGTCTTGTGGCTAGGTTTTGTTTTGGGTAGGAGCGGTGGTGTTAAAGGTGTTGGGTAGGGTTGTGGTGATGGAGGTTTTGGGTGGGTGGGTGGGTGGGTGGTGGTGGTGGTGATGGAGGTTATGGGTGGGTAGTGTTGAAGGCTCTTCTAAATCAAACCCAAATTGTTATGCCAATCACTCATCGATTATACTACTTTAATTCACGAAAACTCGTCAATTCTTCGAACCATTGTTAACGAAATTAATTTCCGGCAACCACAAACCCAAAACCCATTAAACCGTCATCTTTACCGACAGATCCCTGTGAAAAAGAAAAGAAAAAAAAAAACGCAATAATATTAACAATTTTATTGAAGAAATACAACCACTTGCTTGTGAAATTGGGGGTTTCGATTCTCTTGGTGGGACTTGCTTTTAGACTCCTCTCTCTCAATCTAGTGGGTTTTTTGAATGTTGCAGAAACCCATTTTCTCCAGAAAACTTGAACACACAACCACCTCATAGATATATAGTGTGTATATAGATTTAGATATATAGTGTATATATGTGTGTTTGACTGTTTTTATTAATTTTGTGTATAAATTAGGGTTTGGTGAGGGAGGGGAAAAGATTGTATATGTGTGTGAGTGTGTATATATGTATGTGACTGGTGGTGACTGGTTTTGGAGGTGGCGGCCATGGGTCTGTAAAATTCTTGATTGGTTTTAGAGAAGATGAACGTGTGTATTATACGTAGAGGGGGTGAGGTGGGTGAGTGGTATTTTTGTCTTAAAAAAATTGAAACATATTTCTTGTAAGTTAACAATTAGTCAAAGGGGTAACATAGTCATTTTGCATGTAAAGTACTCTGCCCACCCATGAAAAATGACATTTGGGGTGTGAATGAAATATTAAACCACTAATTCAAATATAAGTGAAAATTAAAACCAAAATCTTCATCTAGTTGTAATATGTCCTAACCTCAGGGGTCTCTGTGTAATTTAGCCTCTTTTTTTTTTGGTTAAAAAAACTCGTGATATGCTCCATTGCTCTTGCCCAAACTCTTAAGTATTGCAATTCTCGTTTCGCCAACATCCACCACCGTCCTTCTCTGGTCTCTGCGTTCTGCCGATATTCGCCCTTGGTACGAGTTAAAGCCTTGATTTCGAAGGCCTTCGGTTCACTACTGAATTGATTTTTAAGGACTTCAGTGCATCATTAAGGTTAGTGAGCTCAAAACTAAATTGATTAATTTCTAATTTTCTTTTGATAACTCAAAACTGAATTGATTTCTAATTTTCTAATTCTGACAGACACAGATAGACTTGGTAGTTGGTAAAATTAGGTTTTTGATGATTTCTAAGGACTTCTTATTTCAAAATTTATATATATATATATGTGTGTGTGTGTGTGTGTGTGTGAAAATGCAGTCTTATGAAGTTATGCTTTCAAATGAATGGTGTAATTTACTGATTAGTCTGATTTACCCAGTTGCCCTGGATTTGGAAGAGAAGAGTTCACTACTTCACTGAACATGATCAAGTATTCATGTTATTGAAAAAATCAAGAGTCTAAAGAATTTTGCCGTGGCATCTACTCCTTCACAATCTGGTATGTCAGTATGTCTTACTCATTGTGTTAATTAACTTAATTCTTGAAAATATTGGTTCTTTAGTTATTTATTAATGAATAATGATGATTGTCCAGGCTAGCGAAGTCATTTATTTTATGAACAAAGTACAATTTAGTTTGATTTAGGCATTTTTAATTAATATATATATTTTTAGGGATTTTTAATTTAACCCATTCTTTAATTTTATTAGGTTAAAAATAATAATGGCTCAATATCAACCGCCAAACAAGAAAGCGAAAAATATGTCTATTCTCTCATTCTATAAAAAAGGAGGCCAAATGAGTGGCGATTATCAATCAAAAAAGGATATACCTAGTGCATCTAACATTGACAATGATCTTGATTTGCAACCTCATGCCCTACCCCAAGTTGTTGAACCGAAGCAACTCCACTCCACTTCTATTGAAAAAGATCATGGGTTACGTATTCAAATGCATGAATACTCGGTGAATCAAAGGGATGAGGTTAGACGAGCTTATATCAATTTGGCGCCTTATCAATCTAAACTTTCTAATTATCCTAGCTCTTGGACTGGAAAGCAGAATCGGCGATTTAAGTACGAATGGTTCAAACAATTTCTTTGGCTAGAGTATTCTCCTTCAAATGATAAAGCATATTGTTTTCCATGCTTTCTCTTTGAAGAGAGAAATAAAACGGGGACTCGTTCTGCACTTATGCTCTGTTCGGTAGGAAGGAAGAAAGAAGGGTGGAAAGAAAATAGGAGGGAAGAAACAAAATTCCTTCGCTCTGTAGGAAAGAGACACGAAGGGAAAGGATAATAGGAGGGATGTCTTATCCCTCCCTGTTAACAAATTTTCTTCCGCCTAAATTTGGGCGGAAGACAGGAGAAAAAACAAGTGGAGCTATTATAATACTATTAAATTACAATATTATCCTTTCTAAATATTAAAAATTAAACCCTACACATCTCATCTCACGCAAAAAAAAAAAAAAAAAAAAAAAAAAAAAAAAAAAAAAAAAAACTATCAAGATATGATTCAGGTGTTATATATATATATATATACTTTCTCCTTTATCTTACCTTGAACTTTCTCCTTTATCTCTCTCACACACACACACACACACACATACACACATATATATATATGGATTGTTTGTTATATAATTTCCTTATTAGTAAAAAAAAAGCATTCAGAAGAAAAAATACACAGTCTACATAAAGAAAAAAATATACAGTCTACATGATGAAATATGATTATATATATATATATATATATAAATTAAAACAAACAATAAATTAGAGTGAAATTAATGGTACTGTTAAAATGAGTAGTAAAAATGATCGCAACGAACAAAGGAATTTGGTAGGTTCTTATCTTCTCTTCTATCCAACTGAACAAAACGAGAGAAGTTCATAATCTCTTCCCTATGGATGTCTCATCCTTCCCTTCTTCTCTCATTTCCATCCAATTTACTTCCTTCCTAACGAACGGAGCATTATTAATGGTGGATTTAAGCATTAGAAGAGAGTTAATGATGGAGATAAATGTGAATTCTTGAGACACATGGGACTTCAATCTTCACCACATAGCAAATGTGCCATGCTTTATAGAAATTTAAGTAAATTGGCACAAAATATTGATAAAGTGTTGAATGCCTAATCAAGAGAAAATATTTTGAAGAATTGAATGCGGCTTAAGACAACTATTGAAACCGTTTGCTTTTTAGCATTGCAAGGAATTGGTTTTAGAGGCCATGATGAAAGTTCAAGTTCATTAAATAGAGGGAATTTTATTGAAGTGTTAAAGTATAAAGCAGAAGTAAATGATGAACTCTCAAGTGTTATCTTAGACAATACTCCACAAAATGCCCAATACATTGCTCCATCAATTCAAAAAGAGATTCTTCATATTCTTGCAAACAGAGTGAGAAAAATGATTTGTGATGAAATTACGGGAGGCAAATATTGTATTCTTGTTGATGAAGCACAAGATGAGTCTAAAACGGAGCAAATGGCTCTTGTTTTAAGATATGTCAAGCATGATGGTTTGCTAATTGAACTCTTTTTTGACATTGTGGGAGTTAAAAACACATCAGCAGTGATGCTTAAGGATGCAATATCTGATATTCTTGTTCGGTTCGATCTTTCAATTCAAAATTTGAGAGGTCAAGGGTACGATGGTGCGAGTAATATGCGTAGCGAATGGAATGGAGTATAAGCATTATTTCTTAAAGAGTGCCCATTTGCTTATTATGTCCATTGTTTTGCTCATCGATTACAACTAACATTAGTTACAGCAGCAAAAGATGAGCCAAATATTTGGCAATTCTTCTCTCACCTGACTTGTATTGTCAATCTTGTTGCTTCCTCTCCCAAGCGTCTTGCTGAATTAAAATCTTTTCAAAGGGATGAGATTGCACGTATGTTGAGCATAGGTGAACACCAATCTGGTAAATGGGCTAATCAGATTGGCACCTTGCATCGAGCTGGAGCTACTTGTTGGAGCCCACATTATGATTCTGTAAGGGACTTGATTGATATGTATACTACATCTTGCACAGTTGTTGAAAATCTTAGAAAGGGTGGGCAAACTCAACAGATGCGTGGGCAAGCTTTGGATGTTTACAAGGCAATGAGAAGCTTTGAATTTATATTTATCTTGCACCTAATGGATAACATTATAGGATTCACTAACACACTTTGCCAGGCCTTGCAACACAAATCTCAAGACATTCTAAATGCTTTGAAATTAGTCTAAACAACCAAAATTATCCTTCAAAAATTTAGACAAGATGATTGGGATACTTTCCTTGCAAATGTGGTGTCATTTTGTAATCGACATAACATTGATACACCTGATTTGAGTTCTCGTTATGTAGAGGGTACATGTCGTTATTGTCAGCAACAAGATCATAATACAGTTGAGCACCATTATCACTTTGACATTTTCAACTCTGCAATAGATTTAAAACTGATAAGAGTTAGAACATATATTCAACAAAGAAGTAGTGGAACTTCTTAGTCTTAGCTCAGCTTTGGATCCTAGTGATTCTTTTGAATCTTTTGACGTGAACAAGATATGCAATCTTGTTGAGAAATTGTATCCTTGGGACTTCATTGGTCAATATGTTAAATTATTGAAGTTTCAGTTGATACATTAGCAACTTGATGTACCTAGTGATCCAGAGTTTCAAAATACTTCTTTTCTTACTGATTTATGTGGGAAACTAGTTGTAAGAAGGAAGTCCGAGTGTTACCCTTTGGTTGACAGATTGATCCGTCTTGTGTTGACTCTTCCCGTTTCTACAGCAACTACAGAAAGAGCATTTTCAGGCATGAAACGTGTTAAAACAGCGATGCGTAGCACGATGGGAGATGAATTTCTTGCTGATTGCATAACCGTCAACCTTGAACGAGACCACGGTTGGAAAATTGATTTGGAGTCTATTATTGACAAATTCAAGTCTTTAAGGACTTGTCGAGCACAACTTAGATAGATATTTTGTAATATTTGAATTCAAATATATATATATATATATATAGATTATGTTATAGAAAAAAAAAAATTTGCTTAAGAAATTTTGTTTTTAAATTTACGTTTAATTTTAGCCCACTCCATTGTCAATTCCTGGATCCACCCTTGATAAATATTTTATGACAATCAAACACCATAAAATAAAAAAATATTTTCAGAAAAATATTTTACATCCAAATAAACGTACTTAATGTCTGTGAATTCAAGTTTTTGTGAGCACCCTTTCTTTTAGATACTATTCTATTTGATTTATCATCTACCGATTCTTCATATACCAACCACATTCCGATTTTGCATTTTACTGTATATTATGCATATGTATTGTTTTTTTTTTTTTTTTTCTTTTTAATTTTAAATTCACAACATTGACATTATACAATTCTTACCACAAAAGTAATTTAGCTTCATTTGAAAGCATTTCAATTCATAGATGACTTCTTCAACTCACAGTTTCTTCTTATATCAATACGTGCAAAAGGGTTAAAATAAAAATACGAAGGAAGTAACAGTAAATTACCCAAAGTTAAAGGCAATGTTGAAGTAGCAGAACTAGTTCATTTCACTTGTTCTTGTGTGTAATTTTAACTTATTCTGTGTCTTCATATGTGTGTGTGTGTGTGTGTGTGGAACTCAATAACAATACAAAAATATATATCACCCAAAACGAGGAACTTTCAGATGGGTTTCTTGTACAGAAAATGAAAAAGAATCTTGGGGAATCACAAGAGAGCTCAAGGACACAAGATAGTCCCAAAAAAGTAACAAAGCTTCATAAGAATTGACTCAAAGAATTTACTTTTTGTTAGCATTATATTTATTATTTTTGTTCTTTTTTGTTTTTTGGAAGAGTATTTTTATTATTCTTTGTACTCAATCATACCTCTAAATTATTCAAACAAACTTTGGTTTCAACAATCTACATCTAGCGACTGTAAAGGAAATTATTTAATTCCATTAATTAATATGATTTGATGCTAATAGGATATCTTAGTGAACAGTGACTACAATGAAAATCAAAATTTGAGGAACAGTTTTTAAAATTTTTTTTTTTTACACCTATTATTAATTAAATTAGTAATGAGAAAAGGGGTGGATTTTTGTAAGAATTAAGAACTAAAAAAATAAATATATAAATGAATGAAGACAGAAAGTTTGCTTGATTTGTCATCCAAAAATTATAAACGATAGATTCACATTGAACTGTCAATTGGCAAAGCTAAAAATCCATCAATTTAGAATTATCATTCGTGCTCCGATATTAACTAGATCAATGTGTTGTTGCTATAAAAGAGTTTTTCAAAGAGTGAATCCTTCCAACATATAAAAATCAACCCAAATTTAATGTAACAGTAATTGACCTAGTTTTAGGAAGGGCCTGTTGTACTTTGTACACCTACTAGAGCTTGAAAACGAGTTTTTTTTTGGGTCGAAATTGTTAGAAATTCAAAGAACCTTTCCACAAAAAATAAAGCATACAAAGAAGGAAGTTTTGTCTGAGTTCATCATGATAATGATATTTTTTCAGTAAAATAAAATTGATTGGCAAAATAGATTTCTTTCTTTTCATGTTTTGTATATACTACTGAGGAATAAAATTTTTTACTTTACGGAATCTAGATGTATTATTAGTTTTGATTCCAAGACTTGAAATTATCATAATTCTACAAAAAAATATAAAAATAAAATAAAATAAATGACAAAGGAAACCAGACATATATCCCTCGGGTTGTCCATGAGATTTACCGAGCTGGGGCTTTCAACTGGGTTGGACTTCACTTCAAAAAAGGTTGGGTTAGAACATACTGGGCCAGACTGGCCCGGTTAGCAAAAGTGCAGATATTAGGTAAGGATTCCTAAGACTGCAACTTGGGCGGGTTGGACAGGTTAGAGATACAGTTTGAGCCCAACTGACATATGAAACCCTAACTACTCCATATTAAACCAACTCATCCGCCTATTTTTAAACCGGAGTTAGAGATTTTGTGTTAGAAAGTCAAGTTAATTCAGGTTATCCACGTGACCAATCTCTACATTAAAATTTTTAATGCAATCTCAATTTAGTTTTAGATTAAAGTATTCGAGTCTGGGTTGAGCTTGGGTTCGCTAGTACCTTAGTTCAAGAACCTTAGCTCAAGACCAATCTTAATTAAGTTTAGGCTGAGATTTTTCAATCAAGACTTAACTCTGATGGTAAAATAATTGCTCACAAGTCCAAAATCAGTCTCCACTTGTACCCCTAAGGATTCCTTCTCTATCCCGTCTCCTTTTAGGAAACAAGCTAGCTCCTGTTCCCATCTTGTGAGTTCTCCATTTCATCTGTCTAGTTTTCAGTGATGGTTAGGGTTTTATGATTTGAAAACTCACCACAACAAGCCGGAAACAATTAATTTCATATCAGGGGAAAACAGAAAAGGCACAAATCGATTTGTTGGGTTTTATTTTAGTGCAAAAACATTTTGATTTAGCGTAATGAATTTGATATTTTCTGGGTACGTAACACCAATTAATTTATAGTACACATATATAGTTGCATGCATTATGGAGACGGAGTGAGTGCATGAACAAGATAAATAAAAACAGAACACACACACATAAAAGACAAACGGGTGAAGCTAGCAATAGACTGGATGAGCTTTTATTTAATTATCACATGTATTATACACACATAACAAGCTAGATACATGCATGCAGGGTCCTTTTATTTATTTATTTATGGATAAGATTAAGACCAATTAATGATCTTAGTTAATTAATGTGACCCATGCAGCTTCATCCGCCGCCATTAATGCTTGCTAATTAATAGTGTTTGAGAATGAGCTTCCCATCGGGGATGAGGGCATAAGGAGTCTTACGTTCGGCATCCCCCCACACAATAGCCCAGTAATTCCTGGCAACACCGCTCTTGTCCTTGGCCACTAAATTGAGTAAGTGAGTTTGTTTGGTCTTGGATATAACTAATACCTATCCCCCGCTCACCATCACTAATTCCAAACCCTGTCCGGTGTTCCTGTTGTGCTCCGCCACACCCCACGCTCCCAAAAATGGCACATGAGGGTCTTCCGGGTTCACCGGAGAGATCCTAACCGTGTGTAAAGGCACCACCTTCCCTTCGTTTCGAAGGGACACGGGCTTCCCGTCACTCCCCATCTCAAGGCTAAATTTCTCGTGATTAATGCTAGTAGGGTACTGCATTACGGTTGCTGCCATTTTTTTTTTTTTTCTCTCTCTCTCTCTCTTAGTTACAGTATTTATTTCTTTGTAATCTGCTCTGCTTATAAGGAAAATGGAGGTCCAGCCTCACCTATTTATAGAGCCAGCTGAGCCCACTAGTAATTAAAAGTACTGGAGACTAGTAATTAAAAGTACTGGAGAGAAAGACAAATTAAGTCACTTACAGAATCTCATTTATATTATATCACTTTATTTATTTCATACCTTAGCTTCATATATATATATATATAAGGACAACTACCTTTTCCTAGCTACTTCCCTTCCTTTATTTCTCTTTTATTATTATTATTTTTTTTAAAGTCACACTGCTCCAAAAAGAATATCTTATTTGGGGAACCGCAACCCACGCTACTGGAACATATTTGAAACATACTACTCCTACTAATTTGTAGGCCCACTAAAACAATGATTATAAAATGAAAAATTAATGATTACATGAAAGTGGCATCTTATATATTAAACTATTCCTTTTCAACAATTAATTAAGTTCAAAGTAAAAAAAAAAAAAATTGATCAAATTAAGATATATATACACTTTCTTCGTCATAATTTTTGAAATCGACTTTTAATATGGAACAGAAATTATATATATATATATGTGTGTGTGTGTGTGTGGATAAAGTCACATAAATTATAAAGATAAGAAAAAAGGAATATATAAAAGAAGAAAAGTATTGTGTCGCTTCCCAAAAAAAAAAAAAAAAAAAAAAAAAAAAGGTGATAATGAAATTGTTCGAACAAGGTCATCTTCAATAGCATTATCTAGCTCATTCTTTGAAGCGACTCAACCTTCTTTTATATATTCCTTTTATCTTAACTTCATAATTTCTATGACTTTATCGATTGTTACAAAATTTGTAAACACGCTCTCTTTTTATCTTTTCTATCATCTATTGAAACATTTACGACAAATAGTAACTTAACTTCTTTTTTTTTTTTTTTTTTTTTTTTTATCAACCTTTTTATTTGTCCTATTATCTCTCTCTATATAAATTTATATTATATAGATTTTTTTTTTTTTTTTTGGAATAACTCCAAATATATGAGACTTCGGATTGGGTAAGTTGCTGAGTATGACCGTAGAGGCGTAGCCCTATATTGTCGTAAGCTCCTAATGAGAATCGAACTCCAGACTAGCCTAGTGCTAGTTGTCGTTATACATATATATATTTTTCTTGGAAATTTATCATCTATATAGCTGTCCCTCTATTAATCAACAAATAACTTATTGAGAAAATTACGACATGCATTCTTAGACAAATTTTAATATATAGGTGAGTATATATATGTGTGTTACTTCTTGTATAACGAAGATTGTCATGTCACAAATAAGCGCATTGAAGATTAAAGGCACCCCCTCCCTCCCATCAATATTCTTTTAAAGGCAATGCTTAACTACTCACCCCTTATGTGCTCCAATAATAAAATAACACATCAGCTTTAATAACAAAATAATCCACGCTCTCCTCTGTTTTCTCAGATCAACTATTGAATAAACGTCCAATCAACGGGTCAGTGGCCTAACGGTATCAGCCTCTTATTTCCTAAAGGGAGGTCAGGGGTTCGAGTCTCGAAAGAGACAAGTGTGTGAGAGTACCAACTAGAAAACAAAATATAAATAAATAAATAAACGTACATGGCTTTTTTATTATTTTGCTGATTTTGTTATTAAAGCTGATGTGTTATTTTGTTATTAGAACACAAAAGGAGTAAGTAAGGTAAATGTAATAT